TATGCCACCACGCCCAGCTAATTTTTATGCTTTTAGTAGAGACGGGGTTTCACCATGTTGGCCAGGATGGTCTCGATCTCCTGACCTCATGATCCACCCACCTCGGCCTCCCAAAGTGCTGGGATTACAGGCGTGAGCCACCGTGCCCGGCCCTGTCCTTCTATTTTACATCTCAAAAATATCTCAAGTTTTATTCCAAGCTGCCTTTTCCTGCTCCTTCCTCAGCGTCATCCTGAGATCCTCCCTATAAAAGGGTGTTGCCAGGCGCAGTGGCTTGCGCCTGTAATTCCGGTACTTTGGGAGACCAAGGCAGGTAGATTGCTTGAGCTCAGCAGTTGGAGACCAGCCTGGGCAACATGGTGAAACCTTGTTTCTACCAAAACTACAAAAATTAGCCATGCATGGTACTGCTCGCCTGTGGTACCAGCTACTCGGGAGGCTGAGGTGGGAGGACTGTTTGAACCTGGGAGGCAGAGGTTGCAATGAGCTGAGATTACACCACAGCATTCCACCCTGGGTGACAGAATGAGACTCCGTCTCAAATAAAGAAAAAGAGTGTTGTGGGTGACAGAGTGAGACTCTGTCTCAAAAAAAGAGAAAAAGGGTGTTGTCTCCCTCCACCCGTCCCACCACCCAGCCTAGAAGGAGGACTCTCTACCAGCCTGTGGATCATCTCTATCCTCCAGGAGGTGTGGAGGGGCTGGCCCAGGAGGACATTACATATGTCAGGACCCACAGTCAGGGAGGGCCAGGTGTTCATTTACCTACCAGCCACATGCAAGCAAGAGGTCATACGTGTCTGCCCTTTTCCCCTTCTCCTCTATACCATGCCCAAATAAAAACCACCATTTATTGATTTTAATTCTAAGCACTGTATAGACATCACCCATTTAATCCCTTAAGAATTCACCCAGATAGCTATTAGTATTATTATCCCCAATTTACCAATGAAGAAATGGAGATTTAGGCAGTTAAAGTAATTTACCAAATCACACAGAGAGTGATGGGAAAAGCCCAGTTTCTAATCTAGTCTGCTCAATTTCAGAGTCCTGTGTCTAAGCACGCCCAGCTCACATGGGTTGTGAGCACGAGATGATAACTAAGATGCAAAGGCTCTCTCCACTTGCAGGGTCTTCTTTTTTTTTTTTTTGAGACGGAATCTCACTCTGTCACCCAGGCTGCGCAATCTCGGCTCACTGCAACCTCTGCCTGCCAGGTTCAAGTGATTCTCCTGCCTCAGTCTCCCAAGTAGCTGGGACTACAGGCGTGTGCCACCACACCCGGCTAATTTTTTATTTTTAGTAGAGACAGGATTTCACCATGTTGGCCAGGCTGGTCTTGGACGCCTGACCTCAAGCAATCCGCCTGCCTCAGCCTCCCAAAGTGCTGGGATTACAGGCGTGAGCCACTGCGCCCAGCACAGGGTCTTCTTTCAGGGTGGAGTACCTTTGGACCACTGTTAGTCAGTCTCCCTGGGTTGGAAGGACAGGAAAGGACTGTACCCACTGCTGAGACCCAGGGAGTCTGTCCAACTATGACATCATCATTGTTACATGGTGAGGTGGGGACAGACCTTGGAATAGGACCTGTGTCCGTGTGCCTGATCCTGAACCCTTCTCCGGCCAGGCAAGTCTCCCTTGTCATGCAGCATCATTCACGAAGGAACAGCAGCTTCACAGGGAGGCCACAGTCACTCCATTACACTCCATGCAGCCCAAATTTGAAAGACTGCTTATTTTGTCTTATAAAGAGAGGGTGGCCTTGCTGTGTTTTGCATAAATGCACACATCAGTATATTTCTTCAGTGTTTTAAGTTGTCTCTCTATGCTCTACATACCCTTTGACACCCGTGGACTTGTCGTAGACATTCCCAGAAGTGAGGGCACAGTGGTATACTTTAGAAGTGTAGAACAGGCCAGCTGGAAGGACCATCTGGTCTACCCACCCTGGGTGGGAGACTTGGTCTCCCAACCTGCCCAGTGACGCCCAGTGACGCCCAGTATGTCAGTGGTAGAGCTGAGACTAGAGCCCCCCATTAGCTCCAGTGCCCAGAACCAGGTATTCCCTTTCAGAGAGGATCTAGGAAGTTGCTGGTGGAGACGACAATGGTAACAATGAGAATCCCAGCAGGGAGGGAAGAACAGAGCAGTCTTTTGCTTCGGGTGCTTGTATTCTTGTGGAGTGGAGGCTGACTTGATCCAGACGGGTGTGAAGGAAACTGGGCTCTCCCTTCAGGCACTCCTTCAGGAGGCAGGAGACGGTGAAGGGAGCTGTGGGAGCAGGACAGCCGCAGAGGGTACAGAGGGAAGAAGAAGAACCGCAAGAAAGGACAGAGGGATCTTGGGTGGGACAGGGGAGAAGGGCTGAGGAAGGGAGAGGGCAGCTTAGGGTCTGGAGAAAGTGGGAGAGACCTGCCTTAAGGTTGCTCCTGAAGCAGGAGATCAGGCTGGGGCTGGAACCCAGGGACCCCACACACCCGCCTGTCCCCCTGGCCTGCCTACTTCTCTTGAGAGCAACCAGAAACCAATACCGTATTTGTCTCCTTCTCCACGGTAGAGGAGAAGCAAGCCAGAGCTCCAAGACTCAGGTTTTGCACACCCACAAATTCCACTTCCAAGGACCTGATGGAGACTTTGAACCCCTTCCCTGGATTGCAGCCTCCCAACTGAGCTCAGACAGAACACACACTCACCTCCATGAAGGGCACGGCCCGACAAGAAACGTCACCCAGTAGCCTCTGCTTGGTGATCTCATTGAAGATGACAATAGGGAGGCAGAAAAAGAGGACCAGAAAATCCCAGAGGGCCAGGCTGGCAAGGATAGAGTTCCAGGCGCTCTTCAGGTAGTAGCTGTGCCACACGATGCACATGACCGACAGGTTGCCCACGATGCCCACCGCAAACACCACCAGCGCCAGGAGCATGATGGCATAGGCACTGTAGGAGCTCTCGGTCACCGGATACAGGGGGTTCTGGATCTGCAGCCTCTGCCCCGGTGCCCCCGTCAGATTACCCCTCAGCTCCTGCCCGCTGCCTGGGGTGCCCCCATCCTTGTCGGGGTTAGGGCTGGTGGCCACCAAGGGCTTGGTGGGCTGCCGTCCAGCAGGGTGAATGGGCCGGGGGTACTCCGCCCACTCCTCAGGCACATACTGCTGCACTCCCTTGGCCTCCTCATCCTCGGTGCCCCTCTTGGATCGGTTCTGCTGCTCCTGGGTCTCGGCTCTGTGCCTTCCCAGGTGCAGGGGGGCACCCCCAGAGACCCTGCTTAGCCCCACAGCCAAAATCACAGCAAGAGAGACAGCCAGGGGCCACAGCCACCGCATGGCTGAATGAGCAGGAGGCAGCCACCCCGGGAAGAGCAGGTGAGTGCAGGGGCCCAAGAGCTGGGCTCCAGAGAGGCAGCTGGCCGGCTGGATCCGCCTCCAGTCAGGCGTCTGGCATCACACTCGCCTGCCCTCCCTCCCAGCCTCCGGCCATGGGCTGGGCAGGGCCCTCTGCTGGACACACAGCACTGTTTCCTGCCCTCACACGTCTCGTCCTCCACGACGCCGCTTCTCAGGCCCTACAGCACATCAGGCTGTGGGGCCCTAAGAGGGCACCTGCTTCAGGCCCCTGAGAGTAGGAAGGAAATGTGGCCTGCCTAGGGTGACACAGGGAGGTGGGGCAGAATGGGAACTGGGGTGCAGGTCTCCTGATTCTAAGGCAGCTCCTCCATTCAAAACTGAGCAATAACCATCACTGTCACTTGTGGAACACTTCCTAGGTCCTAGCACTCAGTTGGTTTCTCAATTAACCCGCAATTAATCTCAGATCACAAATCTGAGGTTTGTAGAGGTCAGTCACTTGCCACATAGTTGATAAAAGGCAGAGCAAGGCCCGTAACCCAGATCTGATTCCAGAGATTTCTAATTTTTTTCTTTTTTTTGGTCGCCCAGGCTGGAGTGCAATGGTGCAATCTCAGCTCACTGCAGCCTCTGCCTCCTGGATGCAAGTGATTTTCCTGCCTCAGCCTCCTGAGTAACTGGGATTACAGGTGCCCGCCACCATACCTGGCTAATTTTTGTATTTTTAGTAGAGACAGGGTTTCATCCTGTTGGCCAGGCTGGTCTCAAACTCCTGACCTCAGGTGATCCACCTGCCTCGGCCTCCCAAAGTGTTGGGATTACAGATGTGAGCCACTGCACCCAGTCTAAAACACCATATTCTGAGCCAGACACAAGATGCGTGGACATTTGCAATAACACGTCTTTACTGACTACATGTTGTGTTCAAGACACTCAGAATACAAAAATGTAAAGGATCTCTGGCACCAATGAGCTTTCAGTCCAGAGAAGGAAGTACATGTGTAAGTAAAGTCAGTGTGATAGATGCTATGAAAGGCAAGGGTCATGATGCTGAGGGAACCCAAGAAAATCTGGGGGGATCTGGAAGGCCTCCCAAGTGAGGTGACATTTGAATGGATCCCAAGCAATGGCTGTGAGCTTGCCTGACAGACTATGGGAAGGGAGGGTGCTCCAGGCAGAAGACACAGCACACACAAAGGCTGGGTGATGTGAAAGCAGGTGATGTTCCCGCAAGACAGCAAGTCTGTCAAGGGGACTGGAGTGCAAGGGAGGTGAGGAGAGATCATGGGCCCTTGGGACAAAGAGCCTGGAGATATCAGCAGAGGAGGAACTGGACTGTAAAGGACTTTGTATGCCAAGCCAAGGAGTTTAGATTTTATCCCATAAGCCATGGAGAATATCACAGGTTGTTAAGCAGACAATGACTCAACTAAGTTATTCTAGAGGGGTCCCTGATGGGCAGCTGGGGTCCTAGCAGTCTGGAACAGGAGGATGCAGAGACCGAGGGACCTGTTGGGAAGCAGTGGGTGATGGAGAGAAACCCAGAGTCAAGGAAAACCAGCAGCTTTGAGGGGCTTTGGCTGTGCATGGGAGGGAGAGGTTGAGGCATAGCTCAAGCATGGAGTGGATAGTGAATCTACCCACCCACATTAAGGAGGCACAGTTCTGAGGACAGACCACACGATGCCCAGGAGAATCCACTGGAGAACTAACTGGAAGACCTGCCCCAGAGTGAGTCAGATCATTCCCTCCTCCCAACTCCCTTGGCATTAGGCTACTGTCATTGAAACCTACCACCTTCACCAGCCCAGCCAACATGGTGAAACCCCATCACTACTAAAAATATAAAAATTGGACAGGCATGGTGGTGCACACCTGTAATCCCAGCTACTCGGGAGGCTAGGGCATCAGAATCACTTGAACCCAGGAGGCAGAGGTTGCAGTGATCTGAGATTGTGCCATTGCACTCCAGCCTGGGCAAAAGAGCAAGACTCTGTCTCAAAAAAA